GAGGTCCCCTGACACCAGATTTTGTGGCCAAACCCATTCACCTCTTAGCAGACCGTGCAGTTCGTTATCCATATTTTTAAGCAGAAAGATGCCCTTTTAATTGAACTTCTGGCGCTGATTATGTTACTTACAGCTCTCAATAACATTGCCCCCATTTTACAAGGGAGGATACTGTGGCTCAGAGATGTTCAGCTACTTTTTCAAGGTCACCCAGCTACAAACCAGTATGTCTAGGATTTTTATCCAGAGCCCATTTTTTTAGCACTGTTTCTTGAGACGGAGCCAAAACACCAGGGTGACTAGGGACCGATTTTAGTAGGCGAAGCAGCCCAGAGCTGTTGGGTATCCCAGGTCCACAGTGCTGGGTGTGGGGTGTCATGTCATTGGCACTGACGAAGCTTTGCCCGCCCTGTTCAGAGATGGCTCAGTCTGGGGATGTGGAAATGGGGAGCAGCTCAGCCTGTGGGGTGGCCCCAGAGGAAAGCATGCCCAGCGGGGGGCAGGCTCTTTTTTCTCTTTCCTTTTGGGCAGAAGAGGAGAATTGATTGAAAAGGGGAGAAAAGTGGAAAGAAAGGAAAAACAAGAAAAAAAAAGACTAGAAAACAGAGACTGTGTCTCATCACCACGGAAACCGCAGAGCAGCCGCTTTCAGTCCTGGCTGTCTCCTGGATCTTTAAGATCGCAGGCACCAGGGCCCCACCCCCAGAGAGGCTGAGGGCCTCATTAGTCCGGGGTGCAGCCTGGGCATCATCTGAGTTTTTAAATCTCCCCGTGATGCTCAGCTGCAGCCAGGACTGAGAACCACTGGACGGGGACGGGGCTCCGAGTCGGCCTGGACAAGCACTTGGTGAATGTTGGGGGAGAGGAAGGGAGGGAGGAAGATGAGGACAAGGGGAGGAACACAGAAGCAAATAAGAAAACTGCTCATTTTTTATGCTTTCAGTTGTCCTTTTAGGGAGCCAAAGAGATTGGTTTTTCGTGCCCTCCCTGGAGTCCACATGCTTTCTTATGGTGTCTGCCATGTTATCAAATTAAATGGAAACCAAATTAGCACTGGGCCGAAGGGCCCTCAGCAATCCCACATGCTGAGCAGCGTCTGGTGCTGGCTGCGCACAGGAAGGAGCTGAGGCCTTGGGATCAGGGCCTGTCTGGGCTCAGTTGACCCCTCTGTCAAATGGGATCCCTAACCTTTTCTCTGACCACCTTGCTATGTGGCTGGGGGGGCCTGATCAGACATGGACACAAAGGAACTCTAAACAGGACTAGTTTTCTGGCCTTCCAGAAAAACATGTTTTATCTAAGTTTGATCGTACCTCCAACTGCATCTATTGACTTTGGTCCTCTTTTTCCCCTTATTTAAATCCTGTGGTCTATTTCATCACCATCTCTGCTGTCCCGTGGGGATCCTGCCTTACTTGCAAGATGCTATTTTCTTAGGAAAGTCGTTTAATAACCCCTCCGAGCCTCGGTTTGCTCATCTGGGAAATGGAGATAAATTCACCATCATTCACTCATGTAAACGACATTTATTTCACCTGTGCTGAGCCCTGTGCTGGGTTTCAGGGACATGCGGACCAAGAGCACGTCCCCTCAGGGAGCTCGCAGCCCCGGGAAAGGTGCCCCGGGTTCTGCCTTTGACTTCGGAGGTTTGGATTCTGGCTCTCCTGGTTGACCGGCTCTGAGCTTCAGAATGTTTCTTCACCTCTGGGTGCCTCGGTTTGCTTATCTGCGAAATGGGTGGCAACAGCGGTACTCACAGTGTTTGTCTGATGGTAAAATGAAATTGGTGCCTGTGAGGCGCTTAGAACAGCTCCCGGCCTGTAGGAAGCCTATGGAGACCTGGGCTGGTTATATCGCTGTAAATGTCGAGTGGGTGGGGAGTATAGCAGGACCTTAAGGAATTAGTAAAATGTCAAGCAGAGAGGTGAGGAGGGGCATTCCAGGTAGAGGGAGCAGCATAGGCTAAGGCAGGTCTAGGGGATACGAAAGGCCTGCGGTACAAAGATGTTGAGACAGCAAAAATGGCAGAGGGAGGGCCGGCTGTAGGCCTCTCGGCCGTCCTAAAAAACAGAGCAACCACACTTTATTCCTTGAGCTAATCTTTGCGGTTTCCACAGTCCACTTTCCATCACCAGCCACTCCTTTTCTTCCCCCCTTAAACTCCTCATAAATTGGCTTGCCTTTTTCACTCTGCTTACTCTAAGCAAAATGATGTCCGTGAAATTAGAAGTTGGAAGTGCAAACTGTATATTTATATATTTTTTTCTAATTCACATTCAAATAAGTACATAGCCGTCAGACATTGTCCAATATGTTTGCTTAGCTAACATCATCTTGTGAATATCACCGGGGAAAGCCTTTCAAGGCAAGATTTCCAGGCAAAGGTCAGACGTTGGTTTAGAAAGAAATAAAGCAAGATGGCTTGGTCATCATTTCTTCCTACGCCTTCTGTGGAATATTAACTCCAGCTCCACAGTTACAAAGCCCACCTACCACTTCCACGCCCTCCTCCCCACCTCACCCCCATCACGCCCCATACCAAGCTTGGCGACACTGCCCTCTATTGGCCAAAACGAGAATTTCTCCACCAGAAAAAAGCTTGCTAATCTGTCAGATTCACATTTGCATTCTATCCTCACCTCTCTGGCTGTCTAGACCCTAGTGGAAAAAAATAATGAGGGTCCCTCAGGCTGTTTTTATCTGTGTTGAAGAAGTAATACATGCACACGATTTAAAGCCCAAAGGGACAAAAGGGTCTGCTATGAAAATCGTTTCCCACTTTTCCCCAGCAAACACCCCCTCTCCCGGTCCCCTCCCTCGAGGCAACCACTAGAACTAGTTGCTCATGTGTTCTTCCCAGACTCTTTAAATATTTCAAAAACCATTAGAGAAATCTCATATCTACCGAAATAAAGCCAGCCAGACTAAATAACCAGTTTAGCACTGATTTTATTACATCCTCTGTTATACAGGATCAATAATGGCAACAAAACAAAACAAATTTAATTGTTACCAGGAGATACATAACATGTCGGGGACAAAAATCTTTGTAGAACAGGGAGTCTGTAGAGAGAGGAAATATTGCCGTAGTGGGAGAGAAAGTGTTGGAAAGCACAGGTTTAATCAAATAAACTTTAGCAATGATGTCATAAGAGCAAAGGACGTGTCAGGATGAGGGTGTGGGGGCGGTCAGATGGGGGGTTTCCATCTTGCAGGTTTTAGTTGTAATTTTTTTTCACATTTTCTGATAACAAGACTGAACCCGGCACACTTATTGGAGATGTATCGGTGGCTTTCACGAAACATCCTATAAAATAATGGTTCGTATCTCAGGCTTTGGCATCTGAGAGACCTAGGTGTGAATCCTAAGTCTTATTTGTGTGTGACGTTAGGCAAGTGGTTTCTCCCAGTTGAGCCTCAGTTTTGTTATCTGTAAAATGGGACGATCATAAGTCTTAGTTTATGGTGTTGTTGTTTGAGTGCTTGACACTCAGGAAGCAGCATTCTTGTTATTCAAAAGCTAAATGGGGTCTCGGGAGATCTTCCTTCAGATATCCGATGGGACCAGTGCTTTCACTGCCCGGGAACAGGGAGGGGGTAGAAGAGGATGTCAGAAGTGGAAGCACTGGACAGCAGCCCACAGACAGCGGCTCATGCTCCGGAGGGGACCACAGGGTGTGCCTAGAGCAGAGTCAGGGTGAGGGGAGAGAGGAAGCCAGAGCCCCGCTGCTCAAGGCCAGGGTTGGCGCTGGAATGGCTTATCAGGCATGTAGAGGCGTCAAGGCATCAGGCTTGATTCCGGTGACCTTCACATCTGAGAAGAATGGAGATTGTATGGAGGCAAGAGGGGCCCAGGAGGCGGCGGGACAGAAATCCTTCGGGGCAGTTCCAATCACTTAGGGCTTTTGAATTAACCCCTGGGAGCAAGCGTTGAAAGCAGCCAGGAGGAGAGGGGTCCCACTCCCAAGGCTGACAGCTAAGAGTCTGTTTGGGGACCAGGCCCCAGCAGAGATGGAGTCAGAGCCACAGTCCACCCTGGAGCTGAGGCTGAGACCTGGACATCCACCCTAGGCTGGTGCTGATTCATCCGACACGCCCTTGGCACCACCCTGAGAACCGGGGACGCAGTGCTGAGTGGGGCAAACGTGTTCCCCGGCATCAGGGAGCTCTGGCCTCGTGCAGGCGTGGCCCGGAGCCATGGAGCACCGGGTGCTAAGCTCCACACGGGCTTTTGTGGGGAGAGGGTGTTTTTCGGTTGGAGCAGGGGAAGCTGGTAGAGATCCCAGGGCCGTGAGTCTCCCCACGCCACCCCTAGGGAAGCTATACCTGAGGAGTTGTGAGAGGTACCGTGGGAGAGGTGGCGGTGAATAAAACACAACCCTGCCCTCTGGGGGTAAATCTACAGCTGCGTGCCTCGCATTTCTGTTTTGTTCTTACTAACTAAAGCACCAAAGGGATGGTTTCCACCCCTTCTCCCCACTCCAAGGTGGCAGCAAGCACCCCAAGTTGGATGAAGCCGTCAGCGGGGAGGGCTGGTGTCAGTCTGCATGAGTTGCAGGAACTTCACTCGGGGCCCTTTCCTGGACCACCCCTCTCTGGCGGTGGATAGCTCAGTCAGGAGACGCCTGATAAAAACCCTTCACCGTCGCCCCTTCCCAGCACGATGACAGCCTAACGCCTACACTTGGCTCTCTAAGCCCTTCATGGACTGACTCCCGCAGATCTCCCCAGGTTCCCGTGTCTATACACACACCCACACGTGCTGACCACCAGACAAATGCCTTCAGGAGCCATGACCTCTCCCTGGGCCAGTCTTGTAGGAGGATCGTTATGTCCTGACCACATTGGGAATCCATGCCCACCTCAACCCCAGTTCCTAGCCTGGCACCTGACACCTCGTACGTCTCGATAAAGTGTGTGTTGCCTGAAAAAAATAAATCAAAAGCTTGTTGAACGCCCCTAACTTTGCTTCGCCACATCCCCTTCTCTCTGCCCCTCAGCCTGAACCTGAGCAACAGCGACATCCTGACCATCTACGACGGTGACGAGGTCATGCCCCACATCCTGGGGCAGTACCTGGGAAGCAGCGGCCCCCAGAAGCTGTACTCGTCCACGCCGGACCTGACCATCCAGTTCCACTCGGACCCTGCCGGCCTCATCTTCGGGAAGGGCCAGGGATTCATCATGAACTATGTGGGTAGGTGTCTCCTCTGGTCAATGTTTTTCACTGTATTTAGATACCGGTTAAGATGATTTCCTGTAGCTAGATCTTTTTCAGGGGGATTTTGTGTTTGGTGGGGCTTTTAATATATAGGCACAGTAAATATATGTAGCGTTTAAGACCTGAGTCAGAAGGACCAGGGTTTGAGTCTTAGCACTATTGCCAATGGCTTTGTGACTTTGGGAAAGTCACTTCACCTCTCTGAGCCTCCTTTGTGTTGTCTGTGAAATGGAAATAGTGATTTCTACTTCACACGGTTGATATCAGGACTTCGTAGATCAAGCCTCATAACTTGAGGAGGCTTCATGTGGGGCATTAGATAATCTGGAGTTGAAGGTTGTTCAACCCAGATTATCTAACCTTGAACGGAGAGTTCAAGGTTGGAGGTAGAACGTGGGAGTTAGTGAAGTATAGACAGGCATTGTTTAAAAGCATGGGACCGGATAAGGTCGCACAGGGAGTGAGTCTAGATAGAGAAGAGGACAGGGTCCAGGAGGGAGCTTGGGACCCTCCAGTGTTTAGAGCAGCCGTGGGCAAACTACGGCCCGCGGGCCAGATCCGGCCCGTTTGAAATGAATAAAACTATTGAAAAAAAAGACCGTACCCTTTTATGTAATGATGTTTACTTTGAATTTATATTAGTTCACACAAACACTCCGTCCATGCTTTTGTTCCGGCCCTCCGGTCCAGTTTAAGAACCCATTGTGGCCCTCGAGTCAAAAAGTTTGCCCACCCCTGGTTTAGAGGCTGAGCAGGGGAGGGTGGTGGAGCCAATAATGACTAAGGGGGCATTACAGCTGGGGGGGGGGAGTGAGGAGGGAAGGGTGTGGGAGGGCAAAACAATAAGAGGTATTGGATGGTCAAGTCTGAACTTCGCTTGGACTTAGCAATTTTTTTTAAAAGATGGGGGGAGATAAATGGTTTGGAAGCCACGCTAAGGATCAAGATAAACATCACCTGCATCTATTGGTCCCAAAGTATGGGAGGTGGGAGAAAGGGCTGTCTCCATTGGAAGAAGAGTCTTTAGGCGACCTATTGGTGCACGGGACTGCGCTCAACCAACTGAGCCACACTGGCCGGGGCAATGAGTCCCTTTTCTCATTTCCAGCTGGTGGACACTCCTCATCCCTGCCTGCTCTGTAGGCAGCCGTCAGAGCGGCAAACACAAGTGTTGGTCTTCTTTCTTAAGCTTCTCGGGGGCCTTTTTACCCTGGGTTGTGCTGCTACCTTTGTTATGTTGTGTTATTCCCGCTACTTCGCATGCTTGTCCCACTCTTTGGTGGGGGGTGTCCTGGGCATGGGTGCCCTCCTGAGTCAGCTGCCTTTGGAGGGAGAGTGTCTGGCGACTTGGCTTCAATCTATACTTAGACTGTTCCCCCTTCCCCGCCAGAAGATGAGGTCATAGCTTTGCTCTTCTTTCTTCTCTGGTGCCTGAGTCAGTCTTCCAGACCTGCATCCAGCTCGGCAGCAGAAAGCTGACTCGATCCAAGCTTCCCAAGGTTACCCGAGCGTCTGGCCCATGCTCATTTGGCAACATCTTGAGGAGGAGGCGCTCGCATTAACTGAAGCTGAAACTTAGACTTGTGTGGCAGTTTGACGTTGGCAAGCACTCTTCTCCATCTCATTTTATTCCATCTTCAAATGCATGGTCTTCAAGTGAAAATGCAAGAGGGGGTCTGTTCATAGGCAGTGTCGGGACCGTGTGCTGATGCTGTGGAGAAGCAAGCGTGGAGCTCCAGAGACCACGTCCTGGGGGTACGCAGCCTGGCGAATGTGGGTGACACACAGAAAAGAGAGAAGAGTTCCCTTTGCTCTTCTTTCTGTTAAAGAAACACCCAGTTAATTTTACAGGGAAGGCAAGTGAGCCTCGGTATTCCATTCTGATGCCAATCAATTGCTGGTGACCACCAGTGCTGAAGACCATGTTGAAAAGAATTCCGAGGTCATGCCGGACGTCAGTGGGAAAGAATGGCACGGTTGCTTAGTGACATCTGCCACGGCATGGGCTAGGTGTCTGCTATCATAGGTCTAGATTTAACCAGACACAGATGCGAGTCCCATTCAGTAGAGGAGTCAGGCGGAAGGGCCAGGGGTTTCTGTGATCATGTAGAGAATTCTGAAGCTCCTAGACTGATCGAAAGACCTAGCTCCCAGCTCTGGGAGCTGGTCAAGGCTTACCTACTGTGGCAGCTGCCAGAACCTTCCACAGGAACACTCTGGGCTTACATGGTTCTGACCTCCTTTGCACAAACAGAAGCAAATACCCATTCTCATCATTGCTTCTTGTGCTTTGCTAGTGTCTTTGGCCAAGTGCATGGGAGGAAAGGGAATAAATAAAAAAGCAGAGATGAGTAAGCAGTGTTTTTCAAAGAGATGTTGGGCACTAATCTTAGGATAATAAATGGGCTCTATATTGTAGGTCAACTCCAATCCAAAGAAAGTGAGTGGCTCCCTGGAGTGCTGTGCTGAGGACTGGAGGGTTTCTGCTGGATCCAATGAAAGATTGCCGTGATTGATTAGTGATGTCTGTCATGAGTATAAGATGGTACATGGTGGCATATATTCAGTGCATTTGGGTATTTCTTTTGCCCAAAAGTTAGATGATGGTGTTGACCTTGACCATGAACACTAGAAACATGACTTCAGATCCCTGTTTTCCTGGTGCCTAGCATATGGTAGGTGCTCACAAAAATCTTAGTCAAACAAATGAATGATTCCATATAAGTCATCTTCGTGTTCCTGTCATACCCTACACATTGATTAGCATTTACATTGCCCTTAGGGACAGACAGGGTCGTGATTTGTGTTGCCACTCTAGGATTGAGGACAGTGAAGCTCGGAGATGTGCATTGATGTGACTGGTGTCACACAGCTTCTAAAAGAAATAAAGAGGATAGAAGGGAAGCCCTCCAACTCCTAGGCCGGTTTTCTCATTCTTAGCAAAGAGAGGGGCCCATCGGGACAGATCATTCTAGAACCTCCACCTAGGGTGTTTGGTGAATATGCAGATTCCTGAATCAGGGTCTCTGGGAGTGGAGTCCAGGGACTGAAGAAGAGGAAGGCTATGTGACCTAGCTAAGGCCACTGAATGTGTCAACAGTGAGACCACGATTTCAGTCAAGTCTCTGCTACAAGATGGCACAGCTGAGGAATCACAAATGTGACGAATGCCACAAAGGAGACAGGGTTCTCACAGGAATGTGCAGCCATGTTGGCTGACATCAAAACAGCCAGACAAGCAAACCTTTCTCAGCAAAGCATTTGGCACAAGGCAGACCACGTATCCAGTATTTGCCCCATCTCACCCCTTTCAACCAAAATTCCAGCATTTGCAGCTGCGTCCTAAATCCAGGGCTTGGCTGATTCTTCAAAGACCTAAAAATAGAGGCCTCTGTTCCCCACCAAGCAGTCCTAGATGCCCTCTCCCTCCCCCTCCTTCTTGCCGACAGCCGTGAGCTCTCCCTTCCCCAAATGAAACCCCAGGAAAAGCCATCGCTTGTTTCTCCGCATGACTTTCCCGCAGACAGTGCAAGGGCTTTGCTCTCCCCAGAAGCACTTAAGAACTGCAAATTAATTAAACAGCATAATTAGCTCTTTCTCGCAATCTGGGCAGTGGGCACTTGGAAGCAAGAAGAGTAACAATGGACTTTGGATGACTACCTTAGTAATGAGAGTTTGCTGAAGAAGAACAAAATTATGCCAGAGGAAATGTGTGTGATAATAAGCTGCATGTAGCCTTTGATAATATGCACCCATGATATGCAGCGTGATTTGAAGAATGCACTGATAATTCTTTTTTATTTTGATAGTTAAGTATTGATCTTCACCTGTATTACAAAAATATTTATCACCTACTCCATCAAACCCATGGATTTACAGACATTCTTAGGATGAGGCTGAGTGTATTAGCTACCTATTGCCATGTAACAAATTACCTCCCAAAATTAGCAATAAATATTTATTATGTCACCGTGTCTGTGGGTCATGAATTCAGGAGTTAATGTGGGGTGGTTTGGGCTCAGAGTCTGTCATGAGTCTGTAATCAAGATGTCAACCAGGGCTGTGTCATCTGAAGGCTCGACTGTGGCTGGTGGCTCCTCTTCCAAGTGGTTCTCTGCCATGGCTGGCAAGTCAATGCCATTGTTGGCATGAGACACAGAGAGAAGTGATCATGCCCAGTCACACTGCTAGTAAGTAGCAGAGTTAGAATTCTGTCTGATACTAAAGTAACTTTATCAAACCAAGAGACCGTTGAGTAAGTTCGGGGACCCACAGGAAGAGGTCATTGTAAAATCTCACGGTTAAGCGTTCTGTTCTCAGGTTTGGGAAGTGTTTTTCCTCTGACATTCGTAAAGCAGAAGGTGAGGATGATGTCTTTGTTTTAAAGAGGTGTCAAGGAACGACTCCTGCTCCGATCTGCCCGAAATCCAGAACGGCTGGAAAACCACTTCGCATACGGAGCTCGTGAGGGGAGCCAGGATCACCTACCAGTGTGACCCCGGCTACGACATCGTGGGGAGCGACACCCTCACCTGCCAGTGGGACCTCAGCTGGAGCAGTGATCCCCCGTTTTGTGAGAAAAGTAAGCATCGTCCTGTTTTCTTAGGTCAGTGGGTGGCGAGTCCTCACTGGTTTCTTTCTGTTTGTTTGTTGCTGTTTTTCATGGATTCAGTGGCCTTATTTAATGTGGAATCTGGCCTCCCTTCAACTCCACCAACTCATTGGTGCTCACAGATGTCACTCTGTAGGCTGGGATCTCAGACTCAGGTGCCCTCAGAAGCCAGGCAGGTGAAGTAAATGAGTGAGACAGACTCATATTAGACAATAGGGAGTGGTATGGACTGTGGTGAACGGGAATGTATGCAGCCTGTGTAAACACATCATTCAAATTCAGGTCTTTAAAATTCTGGTAGTAGCCAAGCAAAACAAGTTAAGCTGGACCTTGGAGTCCCAGTTCAAACCCCTATAGTAGGTAGCTGACCTCATTCACACAGAATCCGCCCCAGTCTCCTGGTTCCTCCTGCCTGACCCCTCAGGCGTGGGGCCAGCCATGTCTGGTGGCAGCTGAATCTGGTGTCTTAAAAAGGGGTAGAAAGGGAAATACTCCTGGTAGCAGAGGGAGGGGCTACGTTTAGAGGTGTACAAGGTTGTATATCGTACGTAGGTCCTGGGGCCCTGATGCAAAGCAAACGTATCTTTGGGCAAATTCCTGAAAGTGGTTTGACATCCAAATCTCTTTCATCCCGGCCTAGTCTCCAGCCACCTTTGATGCACCGGAGATGCATTATCTTCCCAGCGGGAAAGGAGCTTAAGTTAGGAACCTTTCTAGATCCTTCTGTCATTCATCTGTGGTCACCGAGAGCCCTAACGCGCACCTGGTCTGCTTTCGTCTCACGTAGTTATGTACTGCACCGACCCCGGGGAAGTGGACCACTCGACCCGCTTGATTTCGGACCCTGTGCTGCTGGTAGGCACCACCATCCAGTACACGTGTGAGCCCGGCTTCGTACTGGAGGGGAGCTCTCTTCTGACCTGCTACAGCCGCGAGACCGGCACCCCCATCTGGACGTCCCGCCTGCCCCACTGTGTCTGTGAGTCCTGTTTATTGACTTAACGAAAACTCCATGTTGCTGCCTCTTAGTCACACTGACTGGACTGCTCAGGGAAGGCACCCCCCTTTGGGAGTGCTTGTTATTATGACGATCACAGAGCTAGCACGCACTGAACACAGGGGTGCTGCGACATTCACGTCAGTGTGCCAGGCACTGCGCTAAGTCCTTTGCCAAAGGCCCCTCCGTGCCTTCCCCAGTGGCCTGGTCAGCATGGCATCACTGGCTTCGTTTCAAAAGGTCCAGAGAGGTGATCTCATTGCCGCAAGTCACACAGCCAGTTAACCCAGACGGTCCGCAGGGACTGAATGGGGTGGATTTAAGCTCTATTTGGCCTTGTCTATGTGGAGCCACCAAAGCAAATGTTTGGTTTAAAAAAACAACACCACCTTTTTGGGTTTCCTGACCGTAAAAACTCAAAAAAGGCTTCCCAGGTCACTCTAAAACTGGAGGGTCTATTCTCACCAGACAGGGGAGGTGGAGAGTGGTGGTCCAGGAGGCTCAGCTTGGGAAGCACGTTCCCTTCCTGTTTCCTCCTGGTGACTTGGGAGGGTGGGGAATTGAAGCTGCAGAGATCCAGACACGAAAAGCTAAAAATAAAAGCTTATTGTAAAACCCTGGAAGGCGATACCCTTTTTATAAAGAAAGAAACGGCACTCCACTAATGAGGACAGTCTCCAAAGGCCCTCTGGGCCGCCGCGGCTGCTGGGTTCCCGAGAAGCGTGTCTCCCTCGTTTCAGGGCGCCTTTCCCTGAAACCTCAGCGCCGGAGCTGCAGGGTCAGGGAAGACAGCTTCCGCGATACCCATGCTAGTGAGTTCACGCACCCAGTGGGTGGCAGGAGATTCGTGATCCTCCCTAAAGCCTAAAAAGTAACCATGTGGTTCTTGCGACATTACAGGCAGGCGAGGCTGGTGGGAGATGGCGCATGAGGTGAGAGGATGGTCCAGTTCTTGCAGCGAGGTGCCTGGAGCGAGAGGGAGGTTACCGTCGGGGTTCTCAGGGCATTTTTAAGGATGAGGTTGTCAGACGCAAAACAGCTTTAAGGTGTTTTCTCTACTGAACGAAGGAACAGCCCCGATCCGATGGGCACCTTCACTGTGCTGTGTCCTTCCCCAACATGAACACGATTAAACCTCATAAAACTGCATGAATGCTACGTGTGTCCACTTAAAAGCAGGAAAGGAGGCCCAGAGAGGGTGAGTAGCTTTCCTGAGGCCACACAGCAGGGAAGGGGAGATCCTAGGATTCCCATTCAAGCCTGATGAACCCCCGAAAGATTATCATCTCCCCCTCTCCCGCCCCACAATCACTGCAGTGCCAGCTTCTGGGCGAAGTTCCAGTGCTTGATTATTGACAAAGATCTTCCACCAACAAGCTGCTGATACAGACAGTAAACTGTATAAGCTCTGCTTCCTCCAGCTTCTGTTCAGGGCCGCTGGGACTCAAAGCCATGTTCTTGCCTAGTCCATTTACCCCAAGACGCTTCAAGAACAGACAGGTCAGGCACTGGTAGGGGTCAGGCATTGGTAGGGGAAAGAGTGCAGTCAACACACTCCCAGCTCTGCTGGGTAACCTTGGACAGGTAGCTTGCCCTCTCGGCCTCAGAGCTCTCATCTGAAAAAGGAAATAATACTCCCTACCAGGCAGGGTTGTTGGAAGCAACTCATTTAGCCATTCAACATGCAGGCTGATGCTAGGAGAGTGTTTCCTAAACTTTCTCAACTCAAGATACCCTTGGTGTCTCAGGAATTCTTTCATCGATTTTCCAGGCCAAAAATACCTAATAATCCTGTTTGTTAAGTAGTTTTTTCCAAACACCTTAATAATTAGCTATATTGGGGTAACTTCGTAGTTTTTAGAGAAAGTAACACAGAAGTTGAAAGATTATATTTTTATTTCACTCTTAAATAACTAGTTACTACTCCAGGGATACATGTGCCTGTGGAACTCCACCGAACTTCTCAAACCTCAGCATCAGGCTGGACTCTGCCATGGTCATTTCCTGTTCCATGTGGATTTGTCACAGTTCTTGTCTCTTAGTACGGCAACCACGGAACAGCCAGCTTTGCAAAGACTAGGCATCAGTAAAGGGAACGTAGCTCTGTCTCGTGCTGAAACTGGGACCTTCCTGGAGCTAGTAGTTCCCGAGGGTCTGAGAGATGTCACTGTGTCTCCTCAAAATTTTACAAAATCTCACAGCACCTCTGTGAGTTCGTGGTGGCACCCCAGGACACCTTGGTGCACAGTTTGGGAACCATGGTGGTGTTTGGGCCCTGAAAATAGAGCAGTGGGTAAGCAGACATAACCCATGCTCTCATGAAGCCTGGGGACTATTGGAGATGAGCGGAGGAAAACAAATCTATGAAGAAAATAGCAATGGATAAACAGCACCTCCTCCAGGGAGACCTCCCTGACTGCCTAGACTAGGTCCTGTTTCTCTCCTCTGAGTTCTCATGGCACCTACAATTCAGCTATCACAGCACTTGCTGTAGCCTATTGAAATGATCTGTTCAGATATTCAGAGAAGCAAACACATAACTCACTTGCTGGGATTGTAGCCATTAATTCTTGTATCCCTCGTGCTCAATAGTATGTGTTACTGTTACCATCGTCGTTATTGTTAGTGATACTGATGTGGCCTTTATTGGCGGTGGCGTGGTAAATGACTCCTCAGGCTCCCATCCAGAAGACATAAACCACGCTACCTAGAGTGATGATATGACAAATTCAGTGAGGGTTTTATGGGTGGCTCTCTGGAGAAGCACTTAGGGATTCCCCAGGAGGCCCTGGCAGAGCCCATGTGGCCAGACTGTGACCCTAGTAAAAGCTCCCATCGATGCACTGTCCCCAAGATGCCTTAGGGGTGGAACCCTGGCACTGAATCGAGGGGGTTGTAGTGCGGCCAGGTGAGAGCAGGTGAGGACGCCTCCCCTCATCTCCCTAAACCTGCTGGCAACAGCCTCCTTTACATCCAGGTCTAAGAGTTTATCCTCTCTCATTTACTATCTCCCAGGGACAGGACAGTCCTGGCACGGGGTTGGCATCCAGAAAATATTTGTGGATACCTGACTGTTAAGTTTCATGAAGGCAGGGGCCATGTCTATCTTGTTCATCATTGTACTAGTAAGAGGTGCTCCATAAATATTTGTTCTCCTCACTGATCTGTTCATTTATGAAGGGAAAGGTTGTGGGGAAATTGTTCTGTGTTACCATTGCCACCTGATGGCCACTTGGCTACATTGCAGGTAATGCACGCATTTGCCACATAAGGATCCTCACTTTTCCACCCAGGAGGGAGGGAAGCAACCTGGAATCAGATCTGCACCTCATCCCACCTCCCATTCCCCCATCTCCAGCCTGAGCCCTCACTTTCCCAGCTGAGCACTGGTTTCCAGGTTTCTTCTGGAAACCCCTGACCTCCCCACCCATGACCGTGACCGGGTCAGGCGAGGTTTGTCCTCTGTGCTTCCCATCACAGCTGTTGCTGCACTGGGTTGCAGTCACCTGACCAGCCTTCTCTCTCACCCACTAGACCAGTGATGGCAAACCTATGACACGCGTGTCAGAGGTGACACGCGAACTCATTTTTTTTGGTTGATTTTTCTTTGTTAAATGGCATTTAAATATATAAAATAAATATCAAAAATATAAATCTTTGTTTTACTATGGTTGCAGATATCAAAAAATTTCTATATGTGACACGGCACCAGAGTTAAGTTAGGATTTTTCAAAATGCTGACACACCGAGCTCAAAAGGTTTGTCATCACTGCACTAGACTGACTTCTGGGCAAATGGAAACCACACTCTCCTAGTTCTCCACTTTATACCCCTCTCCTGGCACAAACCTGGCAGAGGGGCAGAGTAGTGTCTGCTGGACCCTCCCTCCAAATGAGTGGGTTCTGGACTCAGGGGTTCATGAGCTATAAAGTGCAGTGCATTGGGCTGCATTTCCCAAGGAGTGTTTTATACACCCCTGGTGAGACAACGTGGCTTGAGGCGGTGCCCAGATTGACTCTCTGGTGTTTTGTTTTGTTAAGAAGATGGAAACTGACCTTTGAAATCTGTGATTATAGAAATAGGGGTGAGGCTAAATTGTATTGCACAATTTCAATGGAAAAGCAAATCAACAGAAATAAGAAACTAAGTAAATGATAGTATGAAAAGACACTTGGTATGAAAAGACAACAGAAATTGTAAAGGCCACACAAATAGCCAGTGTTTATTGGGTGCTCACTCTGTGCTGCTCACCTACATGCATGTGCTCATTTAATCCTCCTCGCAACCCTCTGACATGGCCCATTTTACAGATGAGGAAATTGAGGCTCTGAGAAGTCAATACCCACAGAGGTTATTTATGATGCTCCTACTATATAGGTTGGGGTCATTTATGATGCTTCTTCTGTATACCAGGCCCTGAGCTTCAAGCAAGCCTTAACAGTGAGGGAAACTGATGTACAATGATTAAATAAATACTGCTGGGGTGGGAGAAGAACTGGAAAGACTAGTGACTGAATTAGGGGTAGGAGGCATCCGGGGAGACTTCCTGGAGGTGGAGAAATGAGGAATGAGAATTGAAAGACAAGACTGATCCAGCCTGGGTGGGCAGTTAAGGTGTGAGTTGAGAAGCAGAAGGAATGTTTTTTATAATTTAACGTCACCATCATTTATAGAGTATCTAGGAAATGCCAAGAGGATTTTACACCATAATCTTACTTCATCTTCCAAGTCCCTATGAGATAGGTACTACTATTATTATTCCCATTTTACTGATGAGGAAACTGAGGCTCAGAATCTGTCCGTGGCCCTTGCTGGAGGTCACACAGCTAATTAGTAAGTAGCAGAACCAAGATTTTATTAACCCATATTCCACAGCCCAGTACAGTCTACCGTGCCCATGGGTAACCCGTGCCCAGAGGCAGGAGACAAAAAGGTGAGTTTGGGCAATGGGAACCAGTTCAGTGCAAGGTGGGGATGTAGAGGGAGAATGTTGCGGAGACCGGCCAAAGCCAGATCGGGCTGGCTCTGAGTAGGAGTCCCCAGAGACTCGCATCCTCTCACCAGAGCTCCTCTTGGCTTGCGTTTCAGCGGAAGAGTCCCTGGCGTGTGACAACCCAGGGTTACCAGAGAACGGGTACCAGATCCTGTACAAGCGCCTCTACCTGCCAGGAGAGTCCCTCACCTTCATGTGCTACGAGGGCTTCGAGCTCATGGGCGAAGTGACCATCCGGTGCATCCTGGGACAGCCGTCCCACTGGAATGGGCCGCTGCCTGTTTGTAAAGGTGAGGAAACCTACTTGAGACACACGGGATGGGGGAAGCCGGAGATGTCAGGACCGGCTGGCAGGGGTTCTGAATCTTCTCCAGAAGCTGAGCTGCTGCATTTCATCAAATCTAAGACACCACCGTTATTCTCCCACCGAGAAAGGAAAACACCACTGCCGATGGAACTGTGACTCAGTGCCTTCTCCTTGCTTAGCACCGTGTTGTTGTTAATCCTCACCCAAGGATATTCTTTCCATTGATATTTTTTTTTTGAGAGAGAGAGAGAGAGAGTAGAAGGGACGGGGAAGGGAAAGCATCCAGGAATGTTCAGCAAATGCAGCAGCCCCGGATAAATAAATAACATTAACTTCAGGAAAGCGTGGCATGGGCCTTTGCTCCCATTCTTCTTGGCCCCGTAACATGCACGGCGAATCCACTTGACATTGACCAATGCTTTCTGTGTCTCTTGCAGTTAATCAAGACAGCTTTGAACACGCGTTAGAAGGTGAGTCCCAGAATGAAAAACACCCAATAAATCAAGCTCATAGCAAAAAGCAAGGGCAGGTCCTAAACCATCCTGGGCCGGGTGCTTACAAAAAACTAACAATAACAAAACATCTTCCTTCACCTGCCGAAGATCATTTCAAAACAAATGCGATTGCAAAGAAAAAGTCATTGCATTTACATCTCACGGTCCTAACTGACCTGGAAGGGATTTGATGCCAGTTGTGCTCATGAGAGTAGGAAATCTAAGAGTCCCTCTGCCTGACAAAGGCATCAGCTGTTTGTAAAACTTTTCAACCACGTGGTGCCTTTGGAGAAACTAAACCCAATGATGTCTCCCCGCCTACGCTGAGCATCCTCCTGGTTTCAGGAGGGAAACGGGCCAGGGGTGGTCTGTGGTCTGTTTTTCCCTTAGTCTTTCTCTTCCCCAACGCATCTGTCCCTGTGCCCTTTTGTTCCCGGTTCTCCTTTTACTAGGAATTTCCAAGTAAGACTTATTAATGCGCAGCAGATGCTGAAAGCTCTCTAGGATTTACTTCTGTTTTCATGTGGTGGCTCCTTCCCCTGCAGCCCCTCTCCTACCTGAACCATCCTGCATTCTGTGTCACCTCCATTCGGCATTCCCAATCCACTCGCCTGGACGATGGTGCCAGATGGTTGTTGGTTTTTAAAGCTGTAACCAGTGGAGCCGCTTTCATTATTATTTTTGGAGCCATTTAACTTCCTGACAATAAGAGGTTCCCTCAGAACCTGGGGCTGTGGGGATCGCATGGCATTAGTCACTCTTCCTAGTAACAGATGATGTTTTAATCCGAGCAGGCGGAGCCGGGGCTCAAATAGAACAGCGTGTTATTAGTCACGCCCCTGGGGATAGAGGACGTTGCGTGGCTCCAGTGTCTTTCAGGCCATCCCCTTTCTGCCTTTGCCAACCAGTGAACCATGGGAATGTCTCAAATGTGTGGGGTTGCGGAGAGATTACAGCGCTAATGTACTGTTTTGTGCTCCTGCGTTTATTGTGGGCGTTAGGGTCACTTTTGCACACTCCATAGAGTGGCGGGTAATGAATTCTAGATTGATGTGCAGCCGAGCTCTGTTGGGCATGGCACGGAGCAGCGCAGAGGGAACCTGGAGGCCGAGAGAATGTGCAGCCATGGCCGCTGAGAATCAAAATGGGGTCTTCACCGTTGGGGTACCACTGGGTGTGTAGGACTGAGACCGGCCCCAGCTTCCCAGCGCCCTCTCCTGGAGGGGCTGATAAAGCAGCCCTGGGAGGGACCCTCCAGTCTGGGTACAACAAGCTCCCTCCACTCCATGGAATGCCAGCAAATCTGCCTTCCTGGTTTGCACACTTGGGATTTCTCCCTTGAATTGGATTTTAACCAGCTTTCAACTGTACCCCCCACCAAAGAAAAATGGGCATGGTAGGATCAGGGTTCAAGGACTGTAATTCTCGGCTCCCCCATGACCACCTCACCCAAGGATGGGCCTGGACTCAGTTGCAAAAGAACCAGCACGAACTCCTCTAGGCTCCGCCTCTTTCCCCCTTGGAGATGGTTCTCCAGAGGCTAAGGCTCACTGACATCGGTTCTTTGGGAGGGTGTGGGATGGGAGGGTGGGTGCGGGACTGGGAGCCAGGGACCCGGGTGGGCTGAGCGTATGCGACATGAAGGCCTCACTGGCTGTGTGTTCAGTAGCAGAAGCGGCAGCGGAGACATCACTGGAAGGAGGAACTATGGCGCTGGCTATCTTCATCCCAGTCCTCATCATCTCCTTACTGCTGGGGGGAGCCTACATTTACATCACCAGGTAGGGAGCCCCGGAGTGAGTTGGGGGGCTGCCACCTCCTCATCCATTCGTGTCCTGAGGGGCTGGGCATTTCACCTCTCTGAACACCAGCATCTCCACCTCTAGTTTGGGGACAGTGGCATTTGTGTGAAATGACATTTGAGTAAGGACTTGAAAGCAATGCAAAGGTAAGCTCTGCAAACCTGGGATAAGAGGAACAGCATGTACAAAGGCCCTGAGGCAGGTATTTGCCTCATATAGATTTTCTCTGCCCTCATGGAGCTTACAGTCTAGGACAGCGGTCGGCAAACTCATTAGTCAACAGAGCCAAATATCAACAGTACAAGGATTGAAATTTCTTTTGAGAGCCACATTTTTTAAACTTAAACTATATAGGTAGGTACATTGTTATTAACTTAATGAGGGTACTCCTAAGCTGGCCTTTACTAAAAACGTCCTCAATCTGAGGGTTTGACCTCAGTGAACGTACCCCCACTTCTTCTAACGCCACTTCTTCAAAATAGACTTGCCCAGGCCGAAAACCAACTTCTGCGCATGGGCCACAAAGTTTCAATCGCACTATACGTGCGCGCCGCACGTGGTATTTTATGGAAGAGGCTCAAGGAGCCAAAGAGCCGTATGTGGCTTTCGAGCCGCGGTTTGCCGACCACTGGTCTAGGAGGAAGAGGGAAAATACACAAATAATAACACTGTATAAACACAGTGAAGGAAGGAGTGGAAACAGAGGAGGAACCACCTTTAACTAGGTAGTCTGATGCAACGCAATATCAGCAGGTGCTCAATAAATGCTCATTATTGTTATTGTTGCTCTTTGCATTAAAGAGGGACCTCCGTCACTTTTCAGGCGAAAACGAATTAAGCTCCGCGCCCTCTGCAGTCAGGGGAGGTATTGAGGCTCCAGTCATCACCGACTGGGTTAGAAGTTGAGGGCAATTAGGATCTCAGCTTTCACCCCACTCGGATTCTCACCCACAAGAAGCTGTTTCCACACATCCCCCTTGTCATTCGTGGAGGTGCCGGTACTCAGAAAGGCTCACTTGCTGTTCCCCTCAGGCAGCCATTTTCAGCGGGTGTGCCTCAGATTGTCAAATGACAAAAGTGACAGCAGCCAACACAACCATAGCCTTCCGTTGCGAATGCCCTGTCTTGAACCATAAATATACAGGTGATATAATAGAGTTGCATCTTATCAGTCATGTGGAATAAGAAGGTTGTATCTGATTCGTTAATTTTGGTACCAGAAATCCTTATATATAAGTATAGGTACCTGATTTTTTTAAAGTCACTTTGGAACAAAAAAATAGGCAATTTTTCTTTTCATAAATCAATCAAAATTACACCTATTTTTTATCAGAGCAGCAAAATATATATTTGTTGGTGTGTGACAGAATTTTAATAACTCGTCTATGTGTGCCATTAGATGGAAAAGGTTGAACATCGCTGCCCTCGGGTTTAGTAAAGTGTCTCCCAGTTCGGGAGGAGTAACTGCTCTCTTTTTCATTCTCCCTTCTCCAGATGTCGTTATTATTCCAACCTCCGCCTGCCCCTGATGTACTCTCACCCCTACAGCCAGATCACCGTGGAGACCGAGTTTGACAACCCCATTTACGAGACAGGGGTGAGTTGGTCTCTCCTCGCTCCCGGGCGCCTCCCTCTTTGTCTGCTCTGAATTCCCTGACATCAAAACTGAAGGTTTCATTTCCTTTTGCCCACGATGCCACTGGCAGAGAGGTGTGGCCAGGGTCCCATCTCATCCCCCATGACCCTTATGGAGCTAACTGCTGAGAGCACCCAGCTCTCTTTGCAAGCCGATGACACACTGTAACACTGCTCGCTCTTGGCAGAAGGACCACAGAAAGAAGGGGCTGCACCGGATACCCATGGAGAGACGGCTGAGATGGGCACACACCTTATTGAGCTCCACGCCCTCATGAATGGCAGCGTGCAACATCCTACACATTTGAGTGGCTGGCCTGGTGTTGGCTATTAGGGACATAGTCATGAGCCAGTATACACGATCCAGCCATTAATGTGCATATGGTCTTGCACAGGTGACAGCTATTAATAACAACAATAATATGTGTCATGGGCTGAGCACCTTAAGTGCATGGTCCCCGTGAATCCTTGTAACTACCTGTGATTGATTCTGCAGTTTTCACTGTGGATTGATGAGGATGATGAGGTTCAGAACAAGGAAAAGGTGATTTGGCCGAGGTGATTTGGCACACCACCAGAGGGCACGGTCTGTAGCCAGGATGCAAACTCTACCCGGTGCCATAACTCCTTACACTGTCCCGCCTCCCTTCAGCCTCACATGATCAAATATGCCGATGAATGTCTTGATTGCAACAGGTCATTATTTTTAAGGACCATGAAGGAAATTAGGCTGCTACAAGAGTATAAGATGGGGGACACTTAAGAAGTGATGGTGGGGAAGGCATTGTTGAGCCAGTGATGTGAAGCTAAGGCATGTAAGGTGAGTAGAACTTAGATGGTGGCTATAGAAGATGCCAGGGAGAAGGGAGAGCCCATCAAAGGCCCGAGGCACAGGGGAGGAACCAGAAGATTAGTCATGACTCTGCAAAATCACAACCCTTCAAATTCACTGTGTAATGATGTACAACCACCTCTCAGCATTTGGGCAGCATAAACTCGGCTTGTTCCTTGTCCTTACTGATGTTCCCTCACCCACCTCTTCTTCTGACCTCCTGTGTTAGTTACTCATTGATGTGTAGCAATGTTACTGAAAAATTTAGAGTCTAAAATAACACACATGTATTATGTCATAGATTCTGTAGGTCAGGAGTCCAGACACAGCTTAGCTGGGTCTCTACTTCAGGGCTCACAAGGTGTCAGTCAGGGCTGCGGTCTCATCTGAGACTTGACTGGGGAAGGATTCCCCCTCCAAGCTCACAGGGTTATCAACAGCATTTAACTCCTTGCAGGTGGTTGTCTGCCCACCACACTCCATATACCATGAAGCACAGGCATGATTGTATATCTGTGTTGGCTCAGCAGAAACCATAGACTTCCATTCAAGCATGTGACAGTGACCTCTCCCAGGGCACAGCCCATGGCTCCTTATATCTCCCCGCTCCTGTGCCCAGGGGGCCTGGAGAACATTACACACACTCCATGAACATCAGAGAAATTGAACTAGTTGCTACCCATATATATTTCAGTCATTTCAGATATGACCTGGTAAGAAGAGGTCGTATGTTATTTTGCATTCCATGTAACTTGTTTCCCAAACCTTAAAAAGATCAAGCTGATGAAAAAACAGCACTTTAGAAACCAGACCTTGTTGATACTTATTAGAACAGTATATCAGTTACCTAGCACTATCATCACGCTGCGTAACAAGCAGTCCCGGAACCCAACCGCTCAAAGCAGCACGTTCATTTACTCATCCGTCTGCGAGGCAGCGTTTCCGGCTAGTTTCAGCTAGGTGGTAGCCTGGTTCGCCTGTGCTCACTCACACATCTGGGATTGGCTAGTCACTGGCTGGGGGACTGAGCTCGGCTCTCCATGTCCTTCACCTCTCGGCTGGGACTAATGGCTACCAAGGCGTGCTCTGCTCATGGTGATGGCAGAAGGGCAGGGCACACGCAGAAACACACAAGCACTTCTCAGGCCCCTCTCGTGACCCATCTCCTTAGAACCCATCAGCCAAAGCAAGTCAGGGTCAGAGCAGAAGGCCCGGCAGTGTCGCCTGGCCAACATTGTGGACACGGGAGGGATGAAGAGCTAGAACCAAGTACACGTCACTCTGCCGCACCAGCTTCAATAGATCTATGCTTCTCTCTCTTGCAGGAAACCAGAGAGTATGAAGTTTCCATCTAGATAGAGCTACACTTGAGAAGGGAAACTCACAGCTATGAACTCAACTACAACCTCCTCGAGAAATTCATCCAGAGACCATGTGGCATTTGATCAAAACACCCCCAGAGTGTCCGGCTGTCTTTTCTTTAGACTCCTTATGGAAGACGTACTGTTTTCTTCACTGTATTTATTATATTTAAAATGGAGATAGGTGTGGTTGGATGTATTGCCGCTGCGGTCAGATTCGTGTCCCAGCTTCAATCGCTTCCGGAGGCCGGTGGGAGATCTGCGAGATGGCAGACACAGCAGTAGAGGGGGAAACAGCAGAACCGGGTCGTTTCTCCCATCAGCAGTGCCATCCTACGGCTGCGTCGAATTGCATGTGTCTTTGGGATCCAGGCCCGTGGTGTGTTTAGTACCAATCGCAGTCCCCAGGTTAGGTCGGGAAGGGTAATTTTTTGTAGGATTAACTTGGGTTGGAATTTCCCGTGGATACTTCAGTAGGTCGGCTCCCAAACAAATCCGTGTGTTTCCCTCTTCCAGTTTCCCCAGCTTCTAAGGGGCCTGGCCACACCCCCTCCCTCCCATGCCCCTTCTGAGAGCAGCCAAGATGTTGCATAAACATTCTCTTTTACTGCCCTTGCCTCCCTGGATGCTGGCAAAATGAGAAAATGTTTTCTTTCTAGAAGAGTGATAAATGACAAGGAAATTTTTTTCAGAGAGGATGAGAGACTTGAGAGTTCCCGTGAAGAACCGGGCAAGGGAGAACGCTGGTCGTGGGAATCGAGTTAATAAAATGTTTTTGCTTTGCACTCCGTCAACAATGAAGGAGCAGGTCATTCAGGCTACAGGCCTCAGAATCGATCACCTTGTTCAGCGAGGCCACCCTCCAACTGTGAGCAGAGCCGCAGCCTTTGGCAGCAGGATCCCCTCGTCCACAGAGTGAGAAGGATGTGTGTGGGAGGGGAGGTGCCATGTCCTGAGATCGGGGTGCGCTCTGCTCTTCTCCTGGGGTGCTGGAATGCCTGAGCCCTCAAAATGGGGAGACTCCAGTGCCCTGTTTCTCTTAAAGGCGGGATTTCCTAATATATTTGCAATCAAGTATTTCAGGGGAAGGGAGGTTTCTATGAGAAGAAACTGTTTTTCTATTGTCTGGAAACTTGGTCCAGAGGTTGAATAGGGGGGTGAATGCAAAGAAACAGAACCGGGGGGGTCAAAACCACAAAGGAATCCTCATCCTACAACTTGAACCCCAATGAGAAGAATGGAGGCGCTGCAGGCCGGAAAGGAATTCATAAAGCACCTTACTCATCGCATGAGCATCCTTATATTTTACCAGGATCATTGCATCCCAACCCGGGGGGACTGGTGAGCGAATAACTAACTGTCCAGGAAGAGTCTTTCCTAAATACAGGATGCCAGGAAGGAATATGGGGATGTCAGTCACCTCCCTAGTGACAGCCGATGGCACACAGGTTCAGTGTTTTTGGGGTGCTCGTTGGCTCCCACGCACGCTCTCTAGAATTGTTTTTAAATCAGCTGGTTTTCACACAAGAGCAGATACTTCCGGCTGCCATGCCTTTGGGAGAGTCTGGGCATCCGTGTTTGGGTGGCTTGCTTTGGAAACCTCTGGGGCAGCATAGGGCAGTGGGCTTTGTACACAGGCACGTGCCCTCCTCCAGCAAGGAGCTTGCACCTCGTCCATTCTCGGAAGTCTGAGGCTGGAAGGTTTCCTCCCGCCAGAAGACCCTGCTTCTCCGGCAGACACGCGTGGTGCTCAGCAAGAGACCGTCAGAGGCCGCTCTCCGGCCACCAGAGCCCACCCCGTCTTCTGGAAGAACCCTTAGTGAGCGATGCCATGTTTGGAGAAAGACCAACAATGCCAATAACTTGACCTTTTCTCAAGAGGCAGAAAGAACCCAATCCTTGCTTTTATTTCTCCTTTGATGATGACTCCAACCCTAACCCAGGGCATCTGGCAAGAACTCTATGAATGATTCTTCATTGTAGAACCTGCTGTGGTTGCGTGAAAACGAAACACTCGCCTTCCGTAAAGACTGACAAAGTGTAAAATCTTCATTCTAACCTGAGAACTGGCCATGCCATGGCCCAGGGATTCGTGTTGGTTGTTGGAGGGACAGAAAAGGTGTCTTTTTTTTTGTTTCCAGGACACCAGTGTCCTAGCTCCGTCTTAGCAGTACAGCCCCTGTGACCACAGTTTAAACGTTCGTTTTAGCCTGAAGGTGGACCGCACGCGCACGCGAGCTGGACGCTGTATACAGTGTCATTGCAAGGACAGGCTGGTGTGTGTTTTTTGTCCTGAGTGTGTATCTGTAACATGTAAAGGTAAGGAAATCGTCCTCCTAGTGCCAACAGTGTGCCAGGCAGGCATCTCATTTCAGTCCACGCGTGTCTGTTTTTACAAGATCAATATGAAAACCCATTGGGATTCAATAGTTTCCAACAGGATGCCATCTTGAGAAACTCAAGAACCGACGGGACCTTCCGAAAAGCCACTCCGTTTTTAAAACGGTGAGGAAATGTGTTTACAGAGATGTCACGCTTCCAAGATGCACGTGATGACGTGTCTCCCAGGCTCCTTCCTGTTCGAGGGATGTGTCAGCCGGCACCCCTGTGCTGTAAGGCGCACACACTCTCCCCTCGTCAGCTCAGAGCTCCTCCTCCTGCTATTTGGGGAGGAGATGGGGGCGTAGAATTCTTGAGCCAACATAAGTATTCTGGTCGCTCTCTGATGCTTTAAACCGGATCTTCTGAAGCCAGCTCCTTGGAGAGCCTACGGGACCCCTGGCCGGTAGCTCTGGAAACCACCAAACAGCCGTGCAGAGCGTCGTCAGGGCGGTTATGTAAGCGGGAGGGACTTGGGCAAAAATGACCTTTCTTTGGGGTGAGTCCAAAGAGCATGACTTTTCTGTGCCCTCGAGTGGTCATGGTGGGTCGTCGGAGTTGTCAGCACCCGCAAAGGGAGGCTTTCTCCTGGGATGTTTTCATTTCCATTTTATCCCCAAACCAACTTTCTAAGCGAGAATAACAAAAGGACGTCATTTTCCACTTTGTATATATTGATGCTAATAAAACAAATGAAAAAGAGTCAAGTCTGTGGGGAGGTCATTTTTCTGGGGATGAGGTGGGGAGACCCCCACTGAAACTTTGAGTGCCAAGGCAGGACTGCACCTTGGGGACCGTTGGGGGGACATCTGGGTAATGTTTGGACAAGACCAGACCACTGCCACCACCAGACATACCGCTCCCCTCCCTGTCCGGGCCCGCTCAGGCGGCCCTAACGGAACGCTGTAGACTGGGCAGCTTGCAGACAGATGCTTATTTCTCACAGCTCTGGAGGCTGGGACGTCCGAGGTCAAGGTGCCACTGGCTGGGTTCCTGACAGGCGCTCTCTTCTTCCTCCTCTTCCTCCTATCCTTCCTCCCCCTCTTCTGCTGCTTCCTCCTCCTCTTCCTCCTCTTCCTCTTTCTCCTTCCCTCTCATTCCCCTCCTTCTCCCCCTCCTTCCCCTGTCAAGGTAACACAGTAACAACAACAATAATAATAACTGGCTTAATACCTTTTTTTTGACATTTTAGACACACGTTTTATTTTGGAATCGTTTTGGATTTCCTAGTTATTTCCTTACACTTTCAGTATGTGTTTGTTTGCACCAAACTAAGAAATCGCCATTCTAAAACCATGCTCTTATTACCGCTGTTCGCAATGTAGCTGCCTGGCACATCGTGGGCACGCAAACGTCTGCTGGAGGAAGGAACGTCAACCAACAGAGCAGCCCCGGATGTGCTGCACGGTCAGTGCCAGGAGGGTGCGGGGTCCCTTTCAGCCACCAGAGGGCAGCCTCCGCCTGGTCTACGGAGAGGCCTTCAGGATCCTAAGAAGCAGGCACACTTGGCTTCCTGGCAGGGTCATCTTCATTGAGCAGAGGCAGCTGATGGAATGGGTGGCTTCTGATACAGCAGGACCCTAGGTGGGGAGTTAGCTAGTGTCCTTCACCCTTGCCCGTGAAAGGGACCCAGGCCTGGTGTGTGACCACACGGCGGGGACGTCCCAGAGGCCCTGGGCCCTGCCTCCCCGTTTCAGTCCGCAGGATCTAAGTGAGGGTGGTAGGTGCCTGGGCTATGAGGAGCCCCATGCCTGGCTTCATGCTCTGCTGTCATTTTGAGCAGGGGCCTCTGTGTTCATGTTGCTCCCCAATCAAGTGCCGGGTTCTAGCTGTGGGCGTCTCGCAGGGTCCTCCCAACGTCACCAGAAGGGGGTCTACTTTGGGACAGGACCTGGTGGGGAGAAAAGCTGAACAGACTGGGGCTCGGGGCTTCCCCACGGGGAATCCTGGCTAACGGGACCCTCAGCCTGGGGGTGGGGGCTGCAGGAGAGAAATGGTGAAGGGGCAGGGCCAAGCGCATCCTGGCTAATGAGATCCCTCCCTTTCTCTCTCTCTCTCTCTCTCTCTCTCTCTCTCTCTCTCTCTCTCTCGTCAGCTTTTCTCTCCTTTTTCCTTTTTCTCCCTGCATCTTGTCTCTTCTCGAGTTTCCCAACTCTCCTTTGCACACCGCCTCGTTCTCTAAGATCTCCCTTTTCTTTCTCTTTATGTCAACAAATAGTGTAGTCCCTGCTCTGTGGATCTAGCTAGCACAATCCTCTCTCCTGCTCATCTTTTTTCTCTGTTTCAATTTTGCTTTTTTTTTTTTCCTTCTCAGTTTTCCTTTCCTTTTTCTGTCTTTTGTTACGGGGGCGGGGGGGGGGGGGGCGGGGGGGGGGGCAAAACCACATTCAAATCTGTAAAGAATTGTTGTGAGTTTATCTGAGCCAATCTGTCAACAATGGTGGAGAGAGCAGTTTTGCACCTTGTTTTATGCATTACAATCAAAGGAGGAGCCATAAGTGGGTCACGTGAAATCCATTGGGGATAGATCAGGGAGGCGGGAGAAAGCAAAGGGGACGACCGCTGGGATTGGTTCCTTTACACAGGTGGGTATAGGCTAGCCAGCAGGCAACAGTTAACACGCTAACAATAACGGAGGGAATGTGTGCTCCTCGGGCCCGGAAAAGGGAAGTTACCAGTTACCCTGACAGTCCACGGGTACGTTATCTTAGATGCAAAAAGACATTAGGCTCAGGAAAGCTTTGTCAGGGAGGATCCTGGCTAGGACACTACAAACTGCTTTTTAGTTAAAGGTTTTACACTCCGGCCATCCTTCGTGGTTACGTTAGGTCTCAGTTTGCAAGGCCACCACCACGCAGGCCTTCCCTGAGGTAGCCAGGTTAGCACGTGGCCCCTTCTCGTCCACACTTCTCTCCTGATCTTTATTTCTTTGTCTCTTTCTGTATCTTTCTCTGTGTGTTTCTGTCTCTTTTCTTACTGTCTTTCTCCCCGATGCATTGTGTCCGTTTCCCTCTGTCTGTTTTGCTGTTTCCTTTTCTCTGTTTTTCTCTCCATCTCTGCATCCCACCCCCACTACATCACTCCCCCTCTGGCTCCCTCTCCCGGGGACCCCCTCGTCAGGCTGCTCACGTGGTGGGCTGCTTAAAAGCTGCCACACACATTGCCTGGCTCGATCTTACCTGTGTCCATCTCTGTTTAAAAAAGCCTTGGACCTTTGAGATGCCAACAAAAAGAGCATAGTAGGACCTCAGGGAGCAACAACCTCATTCTTGTTGCTTTGTGTTTTTGAGTGGTGCTCAGCCCCAGAGTGTGGAGGCTCCTGGAGGCCCCGGGTGGGGGCTGCCCCCCCCCTCACACCCAGTCCTGGGCTGCTTCCCCTCCCACGTGTACTGTGAACACGGAGGGGAGTTGAGCTGATGGCGGTCTTGTTTTCTGGAGTCTCCCGTGTACAGCAGACTGCCCGGCAGCTGCCTCCAGATCCCGCTGAGCCGTTTGCCACAAATCCCTCTTTTGTCACCGTTTAGCCATGAGGTTTAAAAGAGTGACAAGAGAGGAGGAGCAGACTGAGCTGTGAAAAGACCCTGGGGAGGTGTTAAGAACATACAGCAGAGCCAGACATCCTTGGGGTCAAGCCTGGCTGGACACACAAGGGCTGGATAATCCTGGGCAGGGAGACAGCTCACAAGTGCTTAGCATTCCCAGTGATAAGCTCCGTAGAGAGGACCCCGGCAATCCTATAAATGACAAACCGTATGGATAAGGAAGCTGAGGCTCGGAGAGGCTGGGTCGCTCGGAGAGGCTGGGTCTTTCATCCAGTGTCACACAGCTAAGTGGTCGCCCTTCAAAGCAGTCTGGTTCCTGAGCCCAGTGCCTGGAGCTGGTGGAGGGATGGTGGTTCCTGCGACCTCCCTCCCAAGGCCTGACCACCAGCATCATCCCAAAGGGAATTTCTTATCCATCCCAGACCCACGTGGGACTCTGTGCAGCTGCCTCTGTTGCTGCCCCTCACGGGCGGACCCCTGGTTGGCTGCTAAGGGAGATGGTAAGTGAGGATAAGGCATGCTCAGCGAGTCTTGGGGAAGGTTGGGTCTGTTTCTGGAGCATCCAGAGCTCCAGCCAGCGGCCTCCCAATGCACATCTCTGGGGCAGCCAAGAGGGGGCAAAAGGGCGTGGAGAGTTTAAACAACTCTCCCAGGAAACACGCTCAGCTCTCCAGACAGACTCTTCCCCGGGAAGGTGAGATGGCCAGCGACCTAAGACTTTTCTTCTCACACTTGAACAGTTTTGAAGTCATGGTGGACCTTACAAGGATGCCCCTTCCTAATCACTTGGCAGCACTTTCTTCGGTGAACATAAAAGAACAGTAAGTCCTACCTTCTAGTCCAGCGGTTCTCAACCTGTGGGTCGCGACCCCTTTGGTGGTCGAATGACCCTTTCACAGGGGTCACCTAAGATCATCCTGCTTATCAGATATTTATGATTCATAACAGTAGCAACATTACAGTTATGAAGTAGCAGAGGAGAAAGAACTGGGCTGGGTAACTCTTCCCCTCCATGAGGTATCAACTTGGGTAGTTGCTGGTATCTGGCTGGTGTTGGTCTAAAGCAGCGGTTCTCAACCTGTGGGTCGCGACCCTTTCACAGGGGTCACCTAAGACCATCGGAAAACACATATATAATTACATATTTTTTTTGTGATTAATCACTATGCTTTAATTATGTTCAATTTGTAACAATGAAATTGGGGGTCACCACAACATGAGGAACTGTATTAAAGGGTCACGGCATTAGGAAGGTTGAGAACCACTGCTCTAATCCATGAACTATGGGAGGTTGGGTGCTGGTTCTCATTGGCCCAACCTAGATCACGTGCCTCTCTCTGGCCTTAAAAATGCTACCAGCAGTGTCTGGGAATTCTGGGCGGGACAGAAAAGGCTGCTACTCTACCCAGCGTCATCCTGAGTTTTGGTGAGAATGTGTAGGCGTAACAATGGTCTCCTAGTAACTGCTAAGTTGAAAGTTTTCCCCTGAACCTATTCTGGCTTCGAGACAGAACTTCTGGTCTACAGAAAGTCCTTAAGATAGAAGACCCTGTTAAAGGGCACCGCCAGGAACTCTCCAGACAAATCCAGACTATTGACAGTTCATGGAGGCTGCACCGGTGTTTGCTTTTTTTGCTTTCGTTTTTATTTTTTTATCCTTTTCGGTGTGTTTGCATTGGTGGGAATAAGCACATGAAAAGATATTTAATGAGATACTACTTTGCACCCACGAGGACGGGCATCATTTTAAAAACAGAGAGAGTGACTGTTGGCAAGGATGTGGGGAAACGGGGACCCTTGTATAACTGCTATGGAAACAGTTGGGGGATTCTTCAAAAAGCTCAACATGGAGCCCTGGCCAGTTTGGCTCTGTGGATAGAGCGTCAGCCTGCAGACTGGAGGGTCCCCGGTTGCCGGCTCGATCCCCAGTAGGGGGTGTGCAGGAGGCAGCCGATCCATGATTCTTTCTCGTCATTGATGTTTCTCTCTCTCTCCCCCTCTCCCTTCCTCTCTGAAATCAATAAAAATATAGTTTTAAAAAAGTTAAACATTGAACCATCAAATAATGCAGGCATTTTACTTTCAGGCATATACCGAAATGAGATAGAAACATGGGGCACAAACAAAAACCTGTAATGAATGTACACAGACACTCGGTTGG